CCCAGACATCTATAACTCACAGAGTTCCTCTTCATGTAATTTTCTCAATAATTGTCCATTTTTTTTAATAATATCATCTGTCACAGTCTGGCAGCGGATCTCAGCAGGCTGTCTTCAACCAACTTCGCTCGTTATAAAGTATTCTTGTACGTTTGCTCCAGCTCTGTTCATATTCTGGAGGCATCTGTACGAATTCCCCTTAGATCCACGGAATTAAAATTGGTTTCCACTGTGCAGCCTGCCGATAACAAATTTAAGAAGAGGCTCTTTATTGAACCACTTAGCCGTGTGATGAAGGTTTCTTAAATCGTATGTAATCATTTGTGCACGAGGTCCTCGGTTCCATACCAACCTGATCTAATGCGTATTTTCGTGAAAGTATAAAAGTCACAACTCTGTACGTCACGACGGCCTGGCCCCTGCTATGAATCTTCAAGCTACGGGTCTCCTCTGCTGACTGTCATCCTGTCATCGGAGGTGAAATGAAATCCCTCTAGGTAGGTGCTCCCGTCTCAAATGACGAATTCTACCTTCACCCGAACTACGCAGACACAACATGCCTGAAGGCACAAACCACAGAGAGAAGATAAGGTTTGTGCAAGGATACGATGTGACACGAAGAGATTCAGTATTTGTGTCCTTGTGTAAATGTACGAGGTCAAACTGACTTGATTTCCACTAAAGTAAATACATCACGGTAAATACTTATTGAAAAATTGTATTTTACACCGTGTTAAACGGAGCAGAACGACTGGTTCAGTTGGCAGAAGTAGAAATAATATTTATTTTAAATTTAATATATTCATTGCAAATATAATGAAATAAATTACATAACGTTATTCTATGTTGAAAACTGAACAGGAAAGTGAAGTGCCCATGGGGCATTTCGGGTACACTTATCAATACATATGACACCTCACCCTAACCACTGTCTTTCGACACTCGACGTTTCTCAATGTGTAAGCAACGTCGAGAAGTGTCCGACACAGTGGCCACTTCGTTCACCAGACCTCGCTCCTTTGATGTCTACCTGTGGAGTGCACTCGAAACTAAAGTGTTTTGGGATCGTGTAAAGATGTAGTATAAGCAAAACGAATAACAGCAGAATGAATAACAGCAGAATGAATAACAGCAGAATGGATAACAGCAGAATGAACAACAGCAGAATGAATAACAGCAGAATGAATAACAGCAGTGGGTGTGCCGAGGTGAAGTTGCACTGAAAACAAAGGCAGCTATTTTCAGCAGTTTGTGAAATCGTTTGTTACACTGGCCAACTAATGACAAAATTTCTGACATAATTGTGCTTAACCTTTCTTTACAAACGACTAAGATTTCTAAAACATCACATACAAGAGACATGTAGTGCACATAGGCAAATTATAAACGCATTCAAAATATCAGAAGGTTAAACCATTTGGAAATCAAAACGTAAAAACGTAGGACAATGGTACGAAGTATCTTTAAAAAAAAGTGTGAGGTTGTGGTTTAAATTTAACTGGCTCTGGATAGGGGCTCTTGAAAGCAGGGAATTAGTTTATCAACTGTATAACTATAAACGCAGAAATTATATAGGACCCTGCATCTCATATTTTACCTATTTACTCCTATTACAATAGCCAACGTCACTGCAAATTGAAATGAAGTTCTGACGGTGACGAATCTGGTAGCAAGAAATGCAAACAGGAAATTATAACACCAATGGTGGGGTCTGGCGGAGTCAGATGGTCGTTATTATGTTGGTGCGTTTGAAATAAATCTGTCACCGCAAAGATGTTTTTGCATTTAAGTTACTTTCAATGTGATTTACAAATATAATGCTGCAATAACCATATTAATGTTGAACACAAAAAAAAAAGAGTTCATTCCCGTAAAATTTGACGTGCGATCACGACCGCGTGAGGTGGTAAGTTACATTAAAGTGAGCACGTATCAATTGCTAATTGACTTAATATTCCATCCAAAATATAATTCGCATCTCGTGAAACTTCTCACATTCCTGCAAACAACCTTCCACCCGATTTAACGACAACACACAGACACAAACTACAGATCATATATGAAATGACCTTTGACACCACAAATTAGTTCAATTAAACCGCGTTGTTTTATTCCTCGTGTTTCCGCCCATGTTCCAAGTACTTTTTCCCCTGGTTAACGTGGACTATTTGAAAGCAGTGATTATTTCAGTCTCCCAATTATTTTCGTTACCTTTCACATTAACTTTACCGCAAACACTATTTTAATTTAACCTCTGATTTAACTAACTGTGACTCACTTATTAGCTACGTGTCTAACCACACAACCAGTCACTAAACGAACACACAATCAATAATAGCTGAAGAACCAAATAAGCAATTAACCGACTACTATTAACTAACTACACGGAGGAGAGAGGCCCTGATAAAAGATAATTCACGAACAGACAACAGTTAAATATGTGGACTCTGATAGAAATATTAAAAAAACCCACAAAGGCTACAAATGTATAAAGGCCGATGTTGCACTTAAAAAATGCACCCTCCACTACAAAGCAAGTGGGAAGACACGTTGGAAAATTGTTTCCTCTGACGACAGAACCGGTTTTGAAGTCATAATCTGTGGAGGAAAGGAGGAGAGGGTAAAAATGTGAACAGGACTCATCTGGCTCAGGATAAGAATCAGAGGTTGGCTTTTGTGAACACGGTAATGAACCTCCGGGTTCCATAAGAGTCGGGGAATTTGTTGACTAACTGAGAGACTATCAGCTTATGAAGAGATACTGTTACAGATTAGTGGGAAGACGGCCATTCCGGCAACCCTTGAATGTTAACCAAAAGTCCAGGCAGGCACATTGAATTATATTCCGGGTCTAAATACTTTTTGAGTTTAAAACAACACATCCTATAGGATGACCTACTGAGTCCCAAAAATCCCACAGCGTTGGATTGAAAGTGTCTTTAGCACGGGGATAGCCAGTGGACTGCAGTTACACGGGGGTGTAGGAAATGACTCCACCCTCCTGGCCTACTTACTACTACCCCAGTATTGATCCGCACCGGCTCCATACAGCACAGCACCCACCCCGCTGTGTCAGTGACACCCTCGCAGAAGCAGCCACAAACATTCCCCGCCTTTCACTTTATTTATGTCTGTGTAGCCAAAAGGAGAATACATTCAGGAAATATTTTCTGTCCAAAAACTGTTATAATTCCAGTCAAGATGGCCGTCTTCTTGGGTCTAGAGTCGTGTGGTCTGATAGAAGTTTACCGACGTTCCAGGGGTAAATGCCACCCGCTCCAGAATCAATTCCTTCACGACTCTCGAATTTACACACATGTCTAGAATACACTCCGGACGATATTAAAAGTTTCGCCTTATTTTCTGTGCAAAAGAAACAAACACTTTCACTTGAAGAATAATGAGACGTTGATAAGAAAGAAATTTTGCTCTGCTAAAAAACCTCGTAAATTTACAAAGACTCGTTAAAAAAAATTCATCTCTCTTTCCTCTCATCCATTCCACAGCCGAGTTCTGTATCACTACCACGCGCAACGTAACATAAAACTGATTAATCAATAGTTAAACATGTAACCGTGGAAACCGACGCGAGTAGGATGAACCAACGAGGACTTCAACGACGCACAGAGAATCTCTGTAACAAATAACACACGGTACTACAAACTGGACCTCTTCAGAATATTCACTGTCAGGCGCAAAGCCCCTGGATGCCCTGACTAGTGACTTACAAGGTTTACCTCAGTCCCTCCCAAAAAATGTGCATGAGATACGAAGTTCTCGCAGGCGACGAAAAGTCGATTTTGGTATTGCGGGTCGTACGCCGTGTAGGTAAATATACCAACGTTTCGGAGGAACATACTGTCTCCATATTCGGGGGATGAATCGACAATGGTTGATTCACACCACATGGCGTTTCATCAAAATCACTGCGCTGTTAATTTTGATGCTAATTAACATCTTCATTTCGTAAGACTCCGTTGAGTAGCCTACGAACTAAAGCTGGCAAGAGAAGTTTTACGGTATTGGTTATTGAACAAATTCCTTATAAACTTATATATAAACTGACTACTCATCACTAAAGGGTAAAGTTCCCATCTTCGGTATTGGATATTTGTCGTTCTGCGTGCTTGTTATGTGCGGAATGTCTTGTAGGGAGGGACGGCGAATATATTTTGATTAAAGTTTGTATTGAGAATGCTAGCAAAAATGTAACCCATTCCTCCACCGTCTTTTATGGATCCATAAGATTCATTGCCGTGTTCACAGCACACAAGAGGTTAGGGCAACCCTTTACCCCGTTACCACAGCAACCGAACTCCGCTGACCCCATCTCTCACGAAATCTGACACTCCCCGTCTGCAGCCACTTCCAAAAGAGGACAGCATTCTTTCAGACACTTCGAAGAGAACGTTTCCTATACAGCGTAGCGCAAAACACAACTCGTAAAAAAAAATGTACAGTCATTGCGTTACGCGCCATGTAGGCACTTGAGGGAAGAGGTGGTATAGCTCCTACTCCAGCTCGTATTACACAACTCCTAGATATTTTTAAATCTTAACTGACGACCTCACGTAAGCGCCAAAGTAATGGCATGAATTTTGAGGTAACAAAGTATTTACGACTCCTATATACTAGTCATACACTGCACTTTAAAAATGCAAATATCTTATTAAAATGTCCTTTCCTTGCATTTGAGGTTTTCATTCGGTTTCCTTCTGGGTTGTGGGGACGTCTTGTTTTATTTTTCTTCGGTTAAAAGCGTTCGCATATGTACCACCAGAGCAACCCATCTCAACAAAATCTATTAACCAATTAACTACTTAAAAAAGAGATCATATTCCGGCAGAATAATAAAGTGCAATCCACTGTTGCTCGTGGAAGACATCCATTCCAACGTCCCACGTAAAAACTGTCGCAACGCAAGATGACGAAAATGCAACATGTCATGCCATCTATTGACAGAAGCTAGACCTATTAGTTGTTCGTCTACAGGCTGTCTGAACAGAATCAGAATGACGGTGCGGATGGAATAAACCAACTGCTTCAAAACAAGCCCCACAAACGAACGGTTTGGGTATGACTGTAACTAGGTAAACCTAAATACCTAGACAAAATGGGTACTAGGACCACTAACCACAGATTAAGTGGTATCTCCTCTGTGTGATGACTGAGCTATCGCAGAATAAAATAACTTTTACTAAAATCCACGTGAAGTATCACACAATTAACCTAAAACACATATAATTTACTACTGAAACTCTCCACAGAAATAAATGCTTCATAGTCAGTCAATACTTTTACAATCCTTGGCCCATTTTTCTAGGACCTCACCTACCTTAGCAAATAACTTTCTGCAGTCCTGCAGATGGGCACAAAAACCAACCTAGAAAGTACTTTCCTAATAAAATCACAAACCCATGTAATAAATTTGAGCTCCAGTACTAAACACATTACAGAATTATTATGATGGATTCTCACATGCAAATGGATTGACAGCAGTCTTGAGAATCTTAATCTAGCCATACTGAAGAAATTACAATGGGTGGGAGATGAAGCTCATTTGGATTAGACAAAAGTAATCTTAAATACTAATACAAAACTACGAAAATTCTTGTTGCATGACAAAAATGTTTTCCTAGACAATCCCACAAGGCGCAGAATAAAATATTGATCACATAAAAACCAGAAGTGTTGACGGATGGAACATAATACACAGTTTGGTAATATTACCAAATACCTTTTATAGAACACCTTATTTCTGCTACTACTACATAGGCACCATAGTCCTTAGGACCTCTGTGGAGACGTTCCATCCTGTATCCCCCTTAATCTTTCTTAACATTTGACGTGACGCCTCAAACATGAAATAGTAAACCTATCACAAGGCATTCAATTATCCCTCAAGATGGATTTGAACCCATGATCCTTGTTACAGAGACCACGACTCATACCTAAATCTGTTATTTCCAATTACCTTTCAGATGCACTTCTCGCTGCAGTCATGCATGGGTGTACGACATGCCTCCTGCATACCAGCATTTGAAGCAGAAGGAATAGGTCGTGGGACTCTTGAAGGTGGTACGAGGGGACACGACAGAAACCTGCAACTAAAATTGCGGCATGAACACGAACAATAAAATATCTGCTCGATTGCTGGTTTGAAAACCTTCATAAAAGAACAGAGGAGTTACACTGAGATAAATTTTATTTCATTTTATGAGGTTGTCAAGGAAAATGCTTCATGTGTCATGATCTATTAAAACTTCCCCTTCTTTTCTCCATTTTTTTTTTTTCCCAGTCTTTAAAACACATCAGTCCACATGTTTATTCTTACCTTTTAAACTCGTTATCAGAAACTTATTTATAGGATTTAAAATAATTCAGCACACAATTCATAAACACATAAACCCTTGATCTAACAAATAGGGGGAGTCTGGTGAAGACAATTATCTATTAAATTGCAATTATTCTTATAATGCCAGTAACGCATCCTTAGACCGTAATTTTCATTAGAAACATCGCTAAACAGATTAGTAACATGAACTGGACACCTAGGCAGAAAATTAAGTGCAAAACAAAAAATCCAACATAATTTAACCGTTTAAACCGAAAATGCCTTTAAATCCAAAATCTCTTAAATCACGGATTTAATGCAGTTTAAAATGTACATTAAACTAATCACTTCAATGCGACGAACAAAATAAGATTTGTATCATTCGCACATCATAATATGATGCAATACAATAACAACACTGTAATCCAGAACAAAAATAAAATTTAAAATGACAGGTTCATCATATACTGGATGATTAACAGGTATTAGGAAGGAAGTGGTCATAAACTTCAGTCTATTCCTCACTAAAAGAGATATCTGGAAATGTTATCGAGAGATGTAGCTGCCAAGAGACCCTAATTCACAACGCGATTCCGAAGTACAGGAAAGTAAAATTGTTCTAACATTGTGAATGTATTAACAGCTTTTAATTCAGCGTATGTACAGCCTCCATTAAGTGACCACCTACAGAACAAATTAACAAATAATGTGTTCTAAGGTAGGACAACTAAATTTGTTATTTTCACAATTACAGTCTCAAAAACACGTGCCCTCGACTGTTAGTCGCACATGTTCCACTTACTCTGTACATTAAAATCAAGTGTTAGGTTTTTATTCTTTTCTTATAACATACTTGCTTATTATCATAAAAATAATTATTGTAAGAAATGTACACAGATAGAGACAAAACTTAGATAAATATAGCTTACAGCCAAGTATTTCTTTTGTATACCTAATATCACTTGTACCCATATAAATATAAGATCGCACAACAAGCTAATTTACCTGTGCTTATGCTCTATCTGACAGCAAAGGATAGCTTGAAGCCTCCGCCATGCGTACAAGAAAGACACGGAATACTAAACGGGGAGAGGCCAATATGCTCTTTGCCCAGCTATTCTCACGCAGACCATAAATCTCAACAAAATCCAACAGAAACATTCAACGATTCCTCTCATTTTGATATTCGACTCTGCCAGTACGCAGACTGCAACACTCACCTAGTGCGCCACCAAACACCACAAATGCAGTAGAAGTTCATCTTGACATTCTACAAAATTACACACTTAAAAAACAAAATTAATAATTATTACCTTTTTTTACACATATAAAAATGCCCCACATGCAGAAAAATTTGTACCATGGGGGAACTACTTTTCTGAGTATGATTTTTTTTTACATACACTCAATCCACATATTCCATTTTGTACACAAATGTGCATTCAATACAAACATTCTCAATATGAAACCCAAATATACAAGTAGATAGAGTCTTTAGCCATAAAATTATCACTAATCACAGTCTTAACAAATTCCTGTCCTGAATATTAAGAACAGTCTTTCTCGTGAGGGATATAAAACCATCTAAAACCTAACAAACGACGTAGCAGCCCACCTACGCTACGGGTTCACAAGAAAAGTGAAACTTCGCATTTCTTTCAAACTGCAAACCTAGAGTTCGTAAATTTACAAACTGATCACTCAACAATTCGAATACGTCAATTCTGAACGCTTGAAACAATTCAACGACACTCAAATATTAGTACGAGAACGTTCATTCTTAGCACCCACTGAAACGAAGATCTGTAGACTGCAAAGAATGGCTGGCTCATATCATAAAATTTAAGATATTTTCTCAAGCGGTAATAAGGAAACCACGAATATAAGCTGAAATGTAACATTCCTATAGTATATACTGTTATTACCTAGTGTGTGTGTCAATTTGCCGACGATCTGCTAGTACCAGAAACAGCAAACGAAAATACCTGAATTCTTATACCCACTTAAAGTACATAAGCAAAAATCACATACTGTATCTATAACGTGCGTTAAGTGCCAGTCGGATCTTAGTGTACCGGTAAAGAACATTCTGAAGTGAAAACATAATTTAGGCACACTCAATATTCTAAATTTCAAAGGAAATATGTGAACAAGAAATTAGTTCCTCATCCTCATAACATCTCTATTACAGGTTTAACAACTACTTTCTATGTACAATTACATTCAATAAATTTCCTCGTGCAGTCAGCAGAATCAATGCAATTAATTTCCTATCTCCTTACGTCTTACAGTTTATACGCGCGTATCAAAACAAGTTCCGAGCGCCCCTCAGCACACCATCGAGTTCTGTCGATCCGCCCTTTAACAATTCTTGGTGAGAACGGCGATCACGCGCTGCAAACGTATTGGCCCGGGGCTGGTCGGCGGTGCCTACCGTCGCATCGGCTGCATCAGGCTGCCATTGATATATCCGTACGTTGTATACATTGTGTTCTGCTGAGCGGCCCTCTGAATGGCGGCAGGATCCTGATACTGAGTCTGTGCCATGTTCATCACACCCATCTGAACAGGAATCTGAGCTGCCTGGTTGATAAATCCAGCCGCCGCAGCTGCTGTATTTGTGATGTAACCGGTCACTGTGGCAGGCGTCTGCTGCGCAGCCATCCGATATCCGTTCAGCGTTCCATATTGTGATATCAGGTTTGGGTTAATGGTCACGTTTGGGCTGACACGTGACGATGCAGCCTGCATTTGCTGTACGGTCGCAACGCCCCCTCCAGCACTAGAACGAGACGAACGTCCGCTTGTGGACCCTGCAACGGGTGGTGTTACAGCTCCACCAAGGTTGTTAACATTCATATTGGTCTGATAGTACTTGTGATAGTTGGCAAGAGTCATCTGTGTTGGAAGGTTTGCAGGAATTGGTGTCGGTGGTGTCGAGAGCGTCCTTGAAGCTTGCTGCTGAAGCATCTGGTGGGCTGCTGATGGAGGAGGTGTCATGGTGGCATGTGGATGATGTGCTGTGGGCATGGGAGGTGGTGTCAAATTCATGGATGGTGGAGGGGTCATGGTGCCACACGCAGCAGACGGGATCATCTCAAGTCCATTGGTAAGTTGTT